CCCCAAAACCCCAAAACCCCAAAACCCCAAAACCCCAAAACCCCATATTTTATAACTATTCTTGAAATTTTAATTGGGTGGATAAATTATGAATTTTTCACAATCTGGAATACATTGGGATTTCGGCTCTCCACCTAGTAGGAAAGCCTGCCAGATACTAAGATCTAATAACGAGAGTGACGAAGGGATATTAGCGATTTATATTATGTTATTAATCACATAATTTAACTCTTTCGATGTATTTTGGCCTTCCTTCTATCTTGCATTTTAGATCAAAAAGTTCGTCATCTACATTGAAGGAGAGGATTAGTTTCATTCCAAAATCACCAAAGCGTTTGTTGTTTAAGTTAAGTGTGATGTAGTGGATGTCATTTTCTTCCTCAAAATATTCAGGGATTTGGTAGTTCACAGTCAGAATCATTTTATCACCAGGGTTTAGCCTATCTAATATCATAGGAACTACTAATCCTTCATGTTTTCCATCAACCTTGAGTCTTGTATTCTTCGGCCAAATAGTGCATCCAACGTTTTTAACAATCCAAGATTTTGAGATGAGTGAGCCTTTCTTACAAAGGATCATATCATCGTTGCTAAATTTAGTCTCAGAGGTTTCAACTGTAGCAAGTTTTGCCCTCTCCTCTTGGTTTCCTGAGGCGACTCTAATTTTTGAGTAAACTCTATCAAATCCGGTGTATCTTCTTCTATCATATTCTTTGTCGTATCATTTCTCTGCTTTCACTTGGAACTGCCACTCTTTCTTGATCTCTCTGAACTCTTCAGACTCAAGATGCTGTTGAAGCTCCTTGCTGATGCCAGGGCCAGAGGAGGCATCAAGCCTCAGATCATTAAATTTGTGTTGGTCTGAACTATAGAATGGTTAGAAATGAAGGAAATTTAAACGTACTTCCTTGGAAGTGAGTTAGAGCGTAACTCCTTCTTATCCTCCTCAAGCTTGGCATGCTTCTCATCTGTTTCTGTGTTCTTCCTTTGTGGTAGCTTGCCTTTGACAAGGGAAGAGGTGAAGTTCTTCATCTCTTGACATAGGAATTCATCAGGGTTTACCTCCTGATCCTTTCGTTCAATCTTTTCTGGTGGAATTTCTCCAGAAGAAGGTTCGTACTCTTCTTCAGATTCTTCCTCTCAAGAAATAGTATCTTGGATAGAGTCAAAAGCACGCTTGTATTCTTCGAAATTATTTTGTTGAGGGTGCTCAACAGAGGAGGCCATGCTTTCGTTGTAACTTTTTCCAGAAGAAATTAACTCAGACATTTTTGCTTCAATATTCTGACTCTCAGTACTTGGTCCTGTGTTCTTGTCACTGCGAGGAAGGCTAATTGATTGAAAGAAAGGATCATTTCTTATGTCATAATTTTCAACATAAATTTTTAAGATCTTCTTCTTGCAGCGACCGACAGCTTCTTCAAGGTCTTCATCATCTGAAATGTCAACTCTATCATCATCAGAGTCGTAGTAATAATACTTCTGCTCGTCAGTATTGAGACCATCCCCATAAGATTTCTGAATGCTTTGACGAAGTTGGTTGATATCACTGACCGGGTTCTTCAGTCTTCGGATGTCATTCCCAAGTACGATTTTAAATTTTCACTAAATTACCAAAGTTATCTCAAGAACTTTTTATGTAGAGCTCAAAGTTGCCCAAAATACCCTAAATAAGGCCTATATATCCGCCTTCCGCTTCAAACAGGGATGTTCAAACCCTGCTGGGGAGATGACAACTTACATTCGTTGAGTGTTGATTCCGAAATTTCAATCCTAATTGTTCACCTTGGTTAAGACTCATATTTAACTATTAATTATAACTATTCATAATTCTCCAGTTTAAAAGGGGTTTTGGGGTTTTGGGGTTTTGGGGTTTTGGGG